AAAGATAAGGATGAAACGTGAGTCGAGGCAACCAAGCGATTTAAATACCAACTTTTTTAATTTTACGTTTTTTTATCCCGAAATTTTTCTTAATTTTGCTGTCTGGCGTGACAGTGAACGTGTTAATAAGTAAATGTTGTTCAAATTATATCGTGTTTGATATCATTTTCATCAGAAAAATCTCACCAACATGTTAAAAAAAATTTCAGATGAAAATAAGTAAAATTAAAGAAATTATATTTTTCTATTATCATTTGTCGAGCCGTGAAATCTCGTAAAGGAAACCGACTGGTGTAGCGTTACACGCTTGACTGACTGCGAGCGAGATAACATGGGCGTAGCAATGACGCAACCTAGGCGTAGGACCATCTATACTGTCACTTGTAGAATCCAAACTTACTGACTCTTGTAGAGAATTTACTGAATTTGGAAGCTAAGTTACAACATGTTTCTGTAGATAAAACTTTCTTAAGTCCGTGCACTTTAGAGCTGTTTAAAAATCAAGAAAAAATCGGGAAGTATTTGTAAACCGAGCGGGACAAGGATTGAAAAACAGGACGTATGGTAACACTATTTATATACAATTCTACGTGCTCAAGATCGTCAGTGATGGACCAACTGTGTCTACACGTATTTATCTCAGCTAAGCTATAGTTTATATTCTAATATCATTATTTCAAATATTATACTACCTAATTTGCTACAGGTATATACAGTTACTCTCACTAGTATTCGAACACTCTTTAGAACAGTATAACTTTTTTTAAATTGAACCAAACGACTTGAGTTTTTTTTTTTTAGAAGTTAGAAGGATTAGTATACTAGATGACGTGTACGAAAAATTAAAAAAAAACTAGATGACGTGTACGAAAAATTAAAAAAAAATTACAATGTGTAAAAATCGCGAAGAAAATTGTAAAGATCGCTTTTTATAACTTTTTCTTTTTCTGAGCCCGTAATGAAAATTGAAAAAATACGTTTTGTAGATTCGTGTCAATTATATGCATGCTGAAAGTTTCATCGAAATCGGAAAATTGTGAAAATCGCACTATTTCGCGACTTTTGGCCTGTAACTGCAATAAATTTGTAGATTTTTACATCTTTCGATGCCCGTCGCTTGTTTCTGCACACAGAATGCACATAATAAGCAACAATATATAAATAAACCCAAAATATACTACTCGTTGTAATATTGAGCGAATAAAAAACAATTGCCTATCCAGTTTCTATTTTTTTTGAAATTATATTCATAAAAATCCTCCGTCATTATTATCCAATCTGCATCCCTTTATAGTGCTTCTGTTGCAGAGCTACAAGTCCATGTGTACTGTGTATCCTGAAAACTGAACTTTCCGCGTAACTTGTCGCTTTCGTCTTATTCGACGGGGGAGGTTTCAAAGAAGTTGATTCACCCTAGTCGGTTAATGAAACGCGAACAGAATAATGCAGTAATGAAGTGAATAATGTAGTTAAGCATCGTAACTCGATAATAACGAGCGTTCTCGTGAAGGTTCTCTCATGGTCACGTCGACAAATCTAGTTCACATGTTGTTGCAAATCAATTTTCCAACTTTTAAAAACCTATGAATTACATTAAACAAAAAGAAAGAAGAAAAAGCAGTTTGTAAAATTATATTGTTGAACAATTGTGCAGTTTAGCACTGCCTGATAAACAAATTTATCTGTAACTATAATATATCTTCCATCTGGCAATATATCTTAATTGTAAATTCGTATTTTCTTTCATTTATTCCCACTTTTCTGTTCATCCTTCAAGGAACGTACGAGAAGTATGATTTATTGACAGCAATATCTTTCAACCCTCTACGCATCCATTTGTCTATATTTTACAATCTCGTTTTATTATTTCTTCATTGTTACACCATTGCAGTTTTTTTATAATAATTATTTTTTCGATATTTATTCTTGCTTCGGCCAGAAAAATGCGAAAGAAGAAAATCGACCGAAATTTTTCTCGCGAACGAAGAAAAATCAGGTTATAGAGGGTTCAAGAAATGAATATCGAATGTGACAATTCTTTTCACCGATACGTATTAATCAACCGTTTTACGGTCATGTAAATGCATACACGCGCGTATCTACCAATAATGTGAGAAATATTTGGAAAATAGGACGATGACGTAAGTGGCCGTTGCTAAACCAAGTTGAAGTGTTTACGTTAGAAACAGAGTGAAATCCGATTTAGCTAGATAAAAGCATATCCATCGAGTATCTAAATAAATCTCTGTAATCTTGTGCGTACCGTTAGGAAAGAAGAGTAAAAAACCCGAATAAAATGTAAATATCCCCAAATATCGGTGTAATCGGAACATGTTAAACATAAAGAGACAATACTATTTGAATAAACGTAAACCTTTTCGTATCTTCCATACAGAATAACAGCTAAAGAAACAATTAAAGGTGAGTTTCCTTATAGATAATTTTAATTATTCTAATTACTTTAATTATTTTATTTTAATTATGTAAAAACGTAAGCTTCATTAGAAATAACGCTTACCATTATGAGTCACTGTTACGCCAAAAATAGCAATGAAATATAACAAACAATATAATAAATTATGGAAATTCACAATTGAGAGTGAAATATAATCGGATAATTCTGGAGATGAGAATTTATAAAATTTTCTTGCAGATATTATTCTATACTTTAGATTTAAATTCAATTGTAAAATAATTTTTTCATTGTCGGCGTCGCCCTTTAGTCACATTCAGCGCCACTTCTTTACTCGAAAATTGAAAATTTGCAGATTCGTGATTTTGTCATAAGAGGGAGGATGATATCTTCAAGGTGAAATCACTTAATAATCGAAATTTTTCAAAATGGTAGTGAACGCATTTGAATATAGTCCACTAATTGTTTCAGTGCTAAAAAGTCATAATAAAAAACAATCACGTTGCACGATGCGTTGCCTACAAATTGTCGCAGATAACTGATGTATTTCGAAAAGGCTGGTTTTTCAGAGATTCGAATTATTTTTAAACGTGAAATAAAATTTTTTCGTTACTTATTTTTATAATCCTTCATTTTTCAGCGTTACAACAATAGGAAAAGGTTTCGTTGGAGCTCCGTGTGGCTGCGTATGAAGTTCGTCGAACGAGACAACTTCGATTTACCCGCATATGTAACGGTAATTAACGCGGATAATTAATAGTCTAACGGCAACGTTCGACAATCGTACTTATGCGTACAGCTAAGTGATTACGAAAATATTTACACACAATCGGGCGTTATAGCGGCTCGTAAAAAGAGAGAGGAAAGTTGCAGGTCTATTGCCTGGGACATTTTTCTCATTTTGAAAAATTTATAGAGTTTAATCTTAAAAGCGACGCCACCAGGTGATTTTTAACCAATACAGTGATCTACATATTACGAAAACAATATGTTTATTAAGAATTCGACTCATATAACATATCACATTTTTCAAGATATATTACTGGTCATCATGGGTATTTCTTAATTTTTCGGGAATATGTACGAAATTTCATTTGAATATTCGAATTTTATTCGATTCAAATTTCAAAAAGAATACTTTGAGGTGTTAAACAATTGTATTGAACATAGTGAACGATAATTATCAGGCACAGTGTGCATTTATCGATTAATCGTTTCGATTTCTTTGAAAATCGTTATTCGCTAAATAAAATACGCTATGCATTGTTTTATTTTTTAAAAATTAAATACTGAATAATTAACAGTTGCAATAAAAAATATTGAAATTTATACAGTACATACTACGGTGTCGTAACAGGTACATATATGTATGTATATCTCAGCTATTATTACCTACTTCCTGATTAAAACTAAAGGGTACACTGTGTATCTTATATAAGGTGTCTCAATCACCAGAAACGTCTTGGCCAAAGTGAAATTTTCCCTTGCATTCTGACATACTATGAAAAAAATTATCTTAATTCCATTTCTATGTAACTTAACAAATAAATGCTGCCTTTTCTTATTCCACGGAAATTGTTATTTCATATAAAAAAATAATTATTAAACTAGTCAATCAAAATAATAACTAAAATGTTACACTTAAATGATTTAAAGTGAAATAAATTGTTTCAGACGGACGTCTTATTTTTAGATCACTCTGTATATATTTACCTTGATGCGATGCGTTGCACTGTCTAAAAATTTGACGGCAGCGATGTCGTTAATTTGCGTAATAATTGTTCTCAAGTCCACTACGAAAAACTGACTGTTCTCCAGTAGCAGCTTCAACCAGTAGCAACGAAATTGCTAATATCAAGAAGCGTTTCACTAATTATTTATGCACTCACTGAACAAATTTTTCACCACTGAACTCTGTACACCGTCGATAAACAGGTAATGCCGGCACAGTGTGTTCTCTCTCTCCTCCAAGATTAAAAGCTGTTAAGTACAAACTGCCAATTTGTCGTTTCGTATAACCAATTGTGAAAAATGAACTTCACCTATTCTCTTACTCGTTTCGTCGAACAAAATTAAAGTACTGTAGATTTCGATTTATGATAAGTACTTTGTACTGCTTGCGTTGAGGTTAGGTTTTGCATTAAGTACAAAAATCATGCGAGCTATTAAGTGACGTTGGTAACGAACCCTATGATTTGCTAATACACGTCACGCGTACTTTTTCGTCGTTCAGTTGCATACACTTCCTTCCGGTTTCTTGCATTTGGAACACATAAGAACGTAAACAATTAATACGTTTGCGATCCCATAAATTCAATGATTCGATGATGTCACAGTTGATTAAACAAGAGATCTTTCGTTTTTGTTCCACCGGAATCTTTTTTCATTCATCGAAACTTACGTTGCCAAAAAAAGCATCTCGTACCATTCACGGTATCTATCGGTAAGACGAATATAAGCACAGTTAATCACCAAGCTATAGTAAAATTCACGAATTTCCTTTCTGAAAACGTTTCAACGTATCGACCGGCTTGTTTTTGTGAAAATTTTCGCTACACCAAGAAGCGCGCACAAATACGTTGAATTTGACCTCTTGCAATGGCGAGCCTCGTCTCCCCGTTTTCTCGATGGAGACAACGAACGACGTTTATCGCTTCTCTTTAAAATCAGAATGCGTGCATCCGTCCAATTTCCGTAGGAGAAACTTCGGAATAATTGACACAACGAAAATCAGCTTCCTCTCAAACTTGTCATTCAACGATGCAACATCAAATGACACTTAACCTAAGCACGTCATTAAAAATGCCGAACGCACCACTATCGTGTTCGGGGTATCCTCAACTCTAACCTTGAAAATGCGAGTTTCGAACTTCGTGCTTAAGCTTTACGAAAATAAGTACGCGGATAAGTAACGAACGTCGACGATTCTTCTCGATATTGTTTCCACCGTAGAGAAAAGTGACTCGTCACTGAAGCTTTTTTCGCGAACGAGATTATTCTATATATTCATGCGAATACCGTCGATCACTCCTTACCATCGGACGGATGAATAAACCACAAAGTAAAGATATTTTTCTTGAATAGCCGAGGCTATGGTGCCGCGTTATAGGCCGTGAAGCGGCCGGCACGCAAGAAACCGGTGGCAGTCTCAAGAAGCGCACACCCCCGATCGCGCATCCTTCCTGGAGCCCTGGCGAGAGCCAACTGCTCCGCACGCTTGTATGCCAACATTCAAGGCGGTTCCACAACCGACCAGCTGACCGAACGAACGGCCTGAATGTACGATACACACACCGGTTCGTTTCGCCCGTACGCTATACGAATGCAACTTTCCACTATTAAATACGTGCGGCCAGAACATCGAACGCGTACACTAACCGAAAAACCGGTCTGTAGCAGCCAAGAAATTAAACGGAAAAAGAGTAAATCGGAAAAGACCAACAGTACCCTACGCCCCCCACCCGTATCTAACGTAATCGTCACTTCACCTTATTAAATTTTCAATTGCATCGAAAGAGGGCACCACTGACCGCGATCTTCAACCAATATATACACTTTTATTACCAATAAGTTGCTTTGAAAAATTGTTGCAATAAAAATTGAATCACTAGAAAGTTAGTAGGAGTCAGATGCACTTATTTTATTTGATTTATGACGGTTTTTTCAGTAATGTTAATGTTCTTATATACATTATTCATTAATTCAGTAATAAAGTCTAATATTATTACTAATAATTGATATATTTAAATTTCATTTATTAAGTTTTATAACAGG